ATACTAATAGTAGATACATAAAAAATAATTATTAACTAATTAGGTTTCTGTCTTGAATCATGTTGCTTATTAGCGATAACTATATAGATAATTTTAAAAATAATGAGACAAATGTTATCACAAGCAAAGACTTGAAGAAGCAAAGGCAACCAAACAAAGGGATTGTATTGTAGGTGACCTAATGTTAGAATTGGTGCCTATTCTACCAGGCATACAATTTTTTTCTTATTTTTTCATTGAGATGTATTGATTACACGTTTTGGGGGTACAGTGTTATATTACAATACATATAGACAATGTGTGATGATCAAATCAGGGTAGTGAGCAATTTCAGCATCGCAACATATTTCCCATGTGAGACCGTTGCTTTCTCAACACTGCTATTTTACAATTGGATGATTAAAAAGGTTGACAATCTAATTGCTCCCTCGGAGCTATCACTGAGTCCCAAGTAGGGCTTAAGAGGATCTAAAAATATCTGCTGAGAAAGCAGGCCAGGAAGAACGATTATGTATAGGTCTTGATTGTACAAATCCTATGAAACCTGATTCAAATAGAAGAATTGAAGCTCCTTTGGCTACAGCACACTGTGCTCTGCTCAGAAACAGAAATGTGAAGTCTTCTTGAAACACTTTGGAGAATGTGACTACGTTCCCAGGTGGACTGTGTGAGTATTCGGACTTCTGCCTGTGTCTCACTCTTAGCCTCTGCCCCCATATGCTAACGGGTTCACACACAGGGACCTTCCTAGTCTTTGGGGACTTCTTTTTCCTGTAATGGACTTAAAGTTGAGTGGGATTATAAAATCACACAATATCATGGTGTCTGATCATAGGTAGGAACCAGGTACCTCTGAGAGCCTTTACTGACCAAGGGGAGGGGATGGGGAGCTCACAGAAATTTGAGTTCCTCAGAGAGTCTACTCAGGGGTAGCTAGAATTAGTAACAAGGAGCAGGTTGTCAGTAGCATTTGCCCCCAGAATGGCACTGTTTCTCTCTTTACTGTATTCACTTTTGCCCATTTACAGGGTGTTATGGGGTGACTCATTCTGGCTGGGTCATTCTCTAGAGATGGTTTTCAGTGGCACTTGCCACAGCTTGTGAGTGGAATCCCCATGTTGAATGTGGCTCTACTACTTGAAAGCTCCTACACTGAAGCTGATACTAAGGTCTAGTGTCAAAGGGATGAAAAGATCCTGTTGCATAATCTCTAAGAGTAAATGAGATATTAACTAAGTGTACTCTAATGTCAAGACTGGAAATGAGGACAGAGAAGAAATAAAAGCTTTTTCCACCTTTATCCTAATAAAGCAATGATGTGAACCCATCCTGCAGGGTTTCTTTGCACAGCAGTGAAACAGGTTGTTTTAGAAAGTAGAAGCAGAGAGATGGCAGATTTTCCTAATGACTGAGGGCACAGATAATGGAATGAAACAGGTCTGTCACATAGCAGGTTTGTAACCTTGGAGAAATTGCTTATTTTTCCTAAGTTTCAGTTTCCTATTTGCAGATGGAAATAGTAATAATTACAC